GAAAATTAACTATCACAGCCAAAACCAGCACAAGCATGCTCCCTTCTTCAGGCTGATACTTATTTGGTACTGTATTGCATACTATTGCAGATCAAATCAAACAGTACATTTGAAAAGCATATGGATTACTGGTACTCAGAGCTATACTGCACTTTGAAAGACAAAGTGAGACTTTAGAGCTGTATTTGCCATTAGTGAGGCTTTTAGGTAAGGATGATTTGACATCACTCCTGGGCAAAATTGCAGACAAGAATACAACTGATGTTCACTAGGGAAATTTTAAAAAGGGAAGCAAACATGGCTCTATTTGTTAATATTATTTCAAGTTTGGCTGAGTTCACTGTTAAAGAAGATTTTTATAAAGGGTTCATTGTATGGTCCTTTAGTGAAAAGGACAGTAAAATATTTATACAGCTTCTGTAAAGTGTCTTAATTTGCTACCTGAGATGAGGTCAGTAGGGATATGCATTTTCAAAGGGGATACAGATTATTTGGTTTTAGGCACAGTGTTATCTACTCTTTTTCTGAGGTATGAATTGTCTCATGGGACACATGCTAATCAATTTCTGCTGTCCCAGAAGGGACTATGCCTCTATCTGAACCCTTTGCGAACCTTTATGAGTTTGGACAGAAAACGGACTGACCTGAAACTGCCTATGCTGGGTCCCAGCCTGGGCTATAATGACAACCCTAAGTGAATGCCAAGACCAAGTTATCGTGCACAGCCATAATATTTGGTGGAAAAGACACCCATGAAGGATGACATCATGAAGAGCCGGAACAGTGTATACACAGTCATGGAGAAATGGCAGCCGGAGTCCACCACAAAATTCAGAACTGGAAATTAGGTAGTCATTTTTCATAAGCACACTGGTTAATCACACACACACACACACACACAAAATAATGGAAGAGAAAAGCTCCATTTTCATTTCAGTGATGAGTGTCTTCTGGACAGTATACCTTAATAAAATAAAAATTATGATTGAAATGAGTGCTGATTATTTGAATCATCGGGGGATCAAATGTAATGGTGACATATAGGGACCAGTGCCATTAATACTTTTAGTCCTAAACTATGGGTTTTCTTGATGACATTACTCATTAGGCAAATAGGCTGTGAGCATCAGACAAAAGGCAAAAGGTATTATATACAAAATATTTTGTATACAACAAGTCAAATGGAATATAAAGGCTAGTTTAAATAATAAAAATGCAATACATTATTCTTAGTCACACGACAACAGCATTTATTTTCACCAAACAATGTAATAACACCCTAAACACTCTAAATACCCCTGACACTCATTTTTTGTTTTCTAATCCTGCATGCTCAATTTACAAATAGTAGGACTTAAAAACTTGTAATATTAACTAGAGCTGTTCAAGATCTATGGATGAGTCAGGCAACTTAATTTATCTTTTCAGATTATTCTAGGAACATGTTGGATCTAATTTAAAAAATTTATACAGCTTCCTTAATTGCTCTTTGATGCCTTAGGAGAAAGACTCGTTTCCAAGAAATCTACTGGAATAACCAAATGTTGGATGAATAGACTCTTGTTTAAGGTTTATAAATGCCTAGCATATCACAGAGACAAACTGTTAATTACATTTTAATGATGTCTAAGCAGTAAATTGAAACTGAAAGAAATTTGACATCTAAATAGCATCTTCTAAGCAAGAAGTAGGAAAATGTTGAAATTTAAGGTAATGACACTATAATCTCCAGAGAGAGAACTGTTCTCCAGAATTACCATGATTTCTCATGATACTTCTCTGAGTGAAATGTATTATTCGGTAATCTATTCTACGCATGTAAATTGCACTAAAACACTACCGTACGCCACAGTACATTTGTAACTCCATGCGCGCAGAGAAGGGTCAATGCATGTGCTGGCTACTTGGGGAGCAGGTGGCCAGGGCATCTAGTGGGCCATTAGTACCTACTGGCTACAGCAGCTGGCAATTTGAAACATAATGCTTCTTCATCCCTGGGGTAGGGACACCCTTGCTGAATTACTGATGAGAATACATTAAAAAATACAAAATTAGAAATTTAGCATTTTAAGGTATTTTCACTTAAGAGATTAATTCAGCTGAAAGAAATGGATAACATTTTAAGGAATCCATCCTTTTATATTAACTTCTGTCAATTTTTAATTACTCATTCAAAGCTAATTGCAAACTGTTGAGCTCATGAGTACTGCTCACAGAACTCATGTGTTGATCACAGTGATGCATCAGACCTCTGGTTTCATGTCAAGGGGAGACGCCTTGCTTTCCTGCACCAGCACTACCATTTAACTGAAAGAGAAGTTCACTGAGCTGTTAACAGTGCTGAAAGCCATTTCACTTGACTTACATGTGCAAGAGAGAATCACAAATTCTGCATGTGGTATTATTGCTGGTTTAATAGAGAAGAAATCGGCTGCATATGGAAAGATCATCCAGACTTAAAAGGTAATACAAAGGAGCGCCTCCCTGCTTTAGCCTATGCTTCATTCTTTTAATGTATCTGGCTTTCTTGGAGTTTTATGTCCTAATCTAGAATAAGCAGTAGAAATCCTTACAAGGTGAAGTGCTTTGCTGTCTGTGTTCCAGCAACTGTGCGCACTCTACCTGTAGGGTTTATAGGGCAGTTTTATCAGTAAAATGGAATCAAATGCTTGGACTTAAATTTTCCTGCTACATCCTAAGATAGAAAATTATTCTCAGACTTCTGCTATTACATCTTATAAAGACCTCATACACATTAGGATCATCCTTGTTGTTACATAGCATAATATTCCCATCTGCATTGCCCAGATCAGTAATCTTGCAGCTACTGTTAAGGCTCTGGTTCCACAGGGAGTTATGCATTGTCCTTATAAGTGTTGGCAGAAAGGAATCTGACCTACTGAGACAAACTTTTCATTTAAGTGACTTTCTGGACTGTTTCAACTTAATACTTTCTGAGGTAAAACATATAAGACTGCACTTTTTACAAGCAATTGTTAATTCGTTTATACCCTATTGATTGCTTGGCTCCCTAATCACTATCATAATTCAGTAGAACCTCATGTATATCTCTAATACAAAATGTTACATATTTCCCATATCACATACCCTGTACAACTATGAAATATATACAGAAAACTTTCTCCAATAGTAAATTAGCAGTAATCTTAAACACAGTTGTAATGATTCCAGAATGAGAAGCTTATGAAGACAGGAATATCTAAAGGAATGGGGAAAAAAACAAAAATTACATAGGTATACAGCATATACTGAGGATAAATAGTATACAGTTCAGACTAGATGAACAGTCCTATTCATAAAGGAAAGACTACTTTCCTTCCAGCAGAGAACATTTTGGTTTTTTTTCTAATCCATAAAGAACCAAAGACACACAGGCATAGGAGAAAAAAAAAGAAAGACTTGAAAAGCAGAAAGCATGGAAAAGTCTGTTTGTGTGAGATTAGACATACGTATAAAACCAGAATACTTGTACACCTACTATTTCCAGACCCAAAACTTGGTAGGCACTCTCATACGTTGAGTAGTCATGTCAGGTATGCAGTAGTATGTGTCAAGTCTGAAGTTATTTTATCCAGTTTAAAGAACTAACATACGAAAAAATGAACAAAGGGAACACATTTGTCCCTTCAAAGTGATTTCAATACTGTGGTACCTTCAGTCCTCAGAGCTGGAAGATAAATAGGGACTTCAAAAAACAGGCTGTTGAAAATTCACTGATATTCTGTAGAATGATAATGACTGCATCAGAAATGTTGTCTAGGTTTAGTGAAAAACACAGCAATATAATCTTTCCACTCATATATTTCTAAATGACTAATGACTGATAGAAATGTATAGATAAGAAATTCAGGGACAAAACTCATCAACTGATATACCTGTGAATGTTATTGTGAGTTTCTTAATTGAATTTAAAACATTTCTTCTCTCTCAGCTAGTACAGTGACTGCTTCTCTATCTTTAATTGTTAAATTGAGGCTGATTTAAATGAAACACATTTTTACGTTACATGGATGTTTACATTTAAAGTTGTATTTCATCAGGAGATTTATATGAAAGTAGTGATCAAAAATACTCTATATATAAATTAAAAGAGATGCTGAAACAGTATCTCTAGATTCTTTGGATTATAATCGCAAATTTTCTTGAAACTTTGCAAACAAACATTGAAAGACTGAAAGAAACTTGAAATTCCTGAAAATTTAAAAAATTAGGCTTTCAAGATCCAAATAATAGCACTAAAGTTAATGGCTATGGATGAAAAATAAAGCTGTTTGTTTGCAAAATGAATTTGCAGTCACTTTTAAGTACCACCTTTTTTCTCTGACACCCTCTAATTACACTGGAATTGTGATGCTGCCAAGAGGGTTCTTTCGTGTTTGTAGCTTTATTTTAATAGCTCTCCGTAGGTGCTGGCAGCTGTTATGAGTCAGGGTACTGATTTAACAAGAAGAGACAGCAAATATAATATTAAATTATTACATGATTTATACAAAGTAAAAGCTAGGTTGCCATTTGATGACAGGCAAAAAGTGAAGCTGCTAGGGTTTATGGGGAGCCTTTGACTTCTATAGACAGAAATAACCATATGTTCAATCGATAATGCAAAACAAAATATTTTTCTTTACCTTATGAAAATAATTTATGTAGTGAGTCACTAAATGCCTGACTATTTTTAAAGAATTGCACAGAAGGCGAAAGTCAAAAGGAATTCATGACAATGTGAAACAGAAAATGTCTCTTTGTCATAAGCCTACATTCTTTCACAGATGAAACAATACTGTGCAACTGACAGACTGAATAGTTTTCCCTACAATTTATATGCAGCTTTAAAACTTTTAAACTCGAAAAAAACTTGCTAAGTACTAAACTGCCATAGTGGATGGTCTTGCTTCTCATTACACATGTGTATAAAATCAACACAAAACTTGATGTCTGAATCAAGTTTGAGCCAATGAAAGTCACATGAAAAAGGTACTCACTTTTTCTTTAGTCTTCGGTCCTTTTCTGCTTGGGTTCCAAGTTTTCCTAATCCCAGAGATTCCTGAGCTGCTGCCTCTGTTTCCATATAGCCTCCTGGAAAACAAAACAAAACAAGCCCCATCGTATTTTCCCATAGCTCTATCCCAGTTTTTCCCACCCTCAACCCTTCAATCTCCCTCCCACCCACCACTACCACCTATGTTTGTTTCCTTAAACCATGATACCTGGTGTTTGTGGACAACATTTATCACCTATGGATGTAAATTTTGGCATGCGTTTGCTATGTGGAAAAGAGTAGAAGTAGAGGGAAAGACTGTTTCCTCCCTGTGTTTAGCAGAAGTTTATGAAGAGAGCAACTTCATTTCCTTTGCCTGTTTTTCCTTGCCTCCTGAAGATCAATCTCATGGTCCTAAGTAAGCAATGCCCTCACCATTTTTTAATCTTATTTGAGAAATGTACAAATAAAAGGGCCTTCTCAAGAACTCAATAATATAGCATTATGTAACGTTGTACTACTAAAGTCTTCATTTTGCTCTCATAGAGAGTCTTAGAGTCTTTGTTGTAGTTATCCGTGAACTCCCAAGCCAGAGATGACATAAAGAATCTGTCAGAGAAGTAAAAAGCATCCCAGGTCTTCCTGGATGTGTCTTATGGGCACCTAATTCATGTCAAAGGCATGGGAACTTGAATTACTTACATAGAGTGACAAGGAAAGCTTGCGGTAAACAAGGACACCTGGACCAATAAGATCATATTATAAACCAAGGACATTACTGTTACTGTATGATGAGCATGGATCATACAATATATCCACTAATGTGACTTTCCTAGTGCAGAAGCAGAAAGATGCTCTGACTTTTTTATTGCTGCCTGGATTCAAGGAAGAAGGGACCTGCTTATGTGTCTAGTGTGGTATTCCCCAGGTGGGTAAGTTTAAAATCAAACAAATAAATAATAAACAAAAGACACCCATGGTCCCTGTAACGTTCCTTTTCCCTCTTCCTATAATTAAAGAAATCTTGAAGAATACAGAAATCTTGGCTCTTGATTCTGAGAAAGATCTCTTAAGGCACGAATTTACCTTTGAAGACAAATGGTTTGACAGAGGTTTTAAAACTAGCAAATTACAAAATAATGAAACTTTGGCAAGTTTAGCAGTAGAAAACTAACCATTTCAGAGCTCCGCAGGGAATGCAGAGCAAGGAGATCTTTTGGGTGATAACCTGGCTCTGTTGAAGTTTGTGATAAAACTTTGGAAGCTACAGAATTGCTTCTTAAATATAAGCATATACTACATGTATATTATATATATGTTACATAAATTATAAGTATATATTACATGTGATTTTTAGAGCTATTATAGAATTAGTTATGGACATATGATGTGTACTTACATTGTATAATATCACCAGGATCCCTAATATCCTCTGCATTGACATGAACTTTTAAAGTGCTTTTTAAGCATAATTGTGTGCATGTGCAAATACACATATATAAGAAAACAAATTAATGTTTCTGTAGCTAAAAATTACATTTACTACCTCTTCAATATTTGATAAGCTATTGAAGAAAAGATATTTTCCATATTGAAAATAAATAGTATGTATCTATATTAGAGTGTTAAATTTAAACAAGGAATTAAATGAGATTCCTTTATTTATGTTATATAATAAATTTAAATTGTAAAAAACATACAAATATATTGCAGTGCAGTAATGACAGGGCTTACTATCTTGATTTCTGTGATATAGTAACTTACTATAAATAGAACTATATTATATTTATATACTAGAAACTACCTAGCTTCACAGATAGCCTACCTGTCATAGGATTGATCCAAGTACTACCATGATTGATATTTTTTAAATCTTGTTTGGTCTTTAATATATAGCCATTGAATGGAAATTGCCACTCAATATTTGGGGTGTTTTTGATATCTTAAGAATTAAGACGAGAAAAAATATAATTCAGCAGCTCAATGCCGTTTCAATTTCTAAAAATATTTTGCATCTACTTTTGGGGCAGTTAATAGTCCTACTGTTATTTTTATACATGCTTGTAAACCTAGTTTGCTTAATTAAAATGTGAATTATACAAAATCTTTGCTGTTTCATTTAATAGCAAATCTTCCCTAATATTGTTCTGTGATTTCATGAGCTAGTGTTGAGACTTACAAATAAGCTTTATCCAATTATACGTATGTCTTATTACACACGGTGGGTATTATTAAGAAATTAGTCTTCGCAAATTACATTGCTCCTGCTATTTTATTTTTGTTCTACATTGCAAGGAACTGCAGGGAAGACTAACATTTTGTTACACCTTTATCCTCTGTGTTCCTGAATTACTGTGAAATCATAGCTTATTATGCATAATCTACCGCTACCAATAAAATTGATTTTTTGGAATGTAAATGTGAATTAATAATGCAAACTGAAGTTATACAGTTCTCCATCAGTGCAGATGGTGACATACAGGTGTATTTGAAAGGCTCGTTTAATAGATTCTGAAATGCATTACACTATTAAAAAGATTGAATAAATCACTTTTATTCTTCTTAAAGTGGGAAAAAAAAAAAATTAAATTGTGATTAGAATTTTTTTTTCCAAGAACACAAAGTTCAGTGAGAGAAAAGTTGGAGTATAAATGGACAATGCTCAGTTATTTGAGTTTTTGATACTCTCACCTGAATGTTACCTTATTTTATTCTGTATGATTTTAGTGATGGGTGTGCTAGTTGTGATAAGGACATGCTTTAATATGAATATATTTTTTTAATTTTAGGTTTACATATTGTAAGCCCTTAGAATTCTTTTACAGGTATTATTTGGTCACCATGGCAGTGAAAATTTAGGGCTTCACAAATCACATTATGTGACTTCTTCCTAACTAAGAAATAGTTAATATCTCTATTTTACTGACACATCTATTCCAATTTGATGGTTTGTTGGAACGTGCATACATACTAATCTTAATCTAGCTAGATCAGACAGCCTAGCAGTACAGACTACAGTTAAGGATGTTATTTGTCTATCTGGGCATGCAGACTATGAGCCTTTGCTAAAGATGGTCATTTCACCTTCTATTAGCTTATGCTACCTAAGGTAATTAAATAAAGTTATGCTACGATTTTTTTTTTTTTTTTTTTAATTTTGCATGTAGTGTGTATTTTCCTATGGAAAATCACAGAGGAAAATTTTTACCAGGAATGAATTAGACTAGGGTCTTCTTAGCAAGGGAAAATGAGAGAAGTATTAGAAAGAAAACAAAGCATTGCTGTGAGCAGCATAGCTAATTGAAAGAGTATGGTGAGGACATTCAGTGATAGGCACTAGCAGGCATCTATTGACACAATGAAATCTGAAAAGCAACCACACTTACTTGCAAGGACCTTCCCTATCACATAGCTACTGCTTATAGCGGTTTATTACTTACTCTTTTCTCACCTCCTCTTTATTTGGCTATTTGAGGATAAACTGCTAGCACTTCTACCCTAGTTCAAAAGACTATTGAAGCAGTAGGTTCAGTGAAGAGGATGACTCTAGCAATTTGTGCCAGGAGTCTCTTTTCATTTACGTTATAGCAAACTCATGACAAATATAACTGCAGATAGCAATGAGGTTTAATGGAAAAGTTCTGCCATACAAAACAGAAAAATAATCAAATTGGAAACTGAAAAGCAGCAAAATTAAAAATAGGAAAATGACTGTGAAATGGTGATGTTGGCTTGTTACCACTAATGCCTTACTGAGCTGTCCAAGACGAGCCTTCTCTTTTTTACCGAACAAGCGTCCTATCGAAGACTTGATTCCTTTCTTTTTGGGAGCTTTGTGCAGGGAGTCCTGGCTGCTATTGACACTGCCAAGACCAATGCTTTCTTGCTCCAATGAAGCAGGCAAGCTACTACAAAATGATAATAAAGAAATGGAATAGATAACATGGCAACATTTGCAGGTAAGATTTTGCTTTCTTCTGAGCAGCTCTGCAAACAAATTTGTTATAGTTCAGCAATGATCTCCCAACAGTGAAACAATCACATCATCTTCTTTAAACAATTTAGCAACACGTAGGGCAATACAAGATCACATTTTGTCCATCAGTCTGAATGGATCGTACTTGAAAAAAAAAAAAAAAGGCTGAAAGTAAATAAATATTTTCAATTTGCTAAAAAAATTTGATGAAAACCACAAGAATCAGCCTGCAGTTTGTCTTTCTAGGATTTGCAGTTTCAATCCTTCTAGTAGTGATTGACACTGTACTTCAAAAAAGAAATATCCAGCATATATAGGCAGGGTCCAAAGTGGCAATAGTCACACCATAGCATTCAACTGGGGAATAAGCCAGGCCAACCAGAGCAGCAACAAACGTTCTTCAGCTGCCTCCCAAGATGAGAACCAGAAGGCCAGCCACCTCAAGGGTATGTATGGCTAAGGTGGACGGATCCTTTTGCATGCCTCCTGGGAAGCCCATATGCTCAATTACCTCTCTGAAATGCCTGTACACCAACGCATGCAGCATGAGGAATAAACACGAAGAATTAGAAAGATGTGCGCACTTGCAGGGCCATGATATCATTGCAATTACAGAGATATGGTGGGATACCTCACATGACCGGAATGCTGACATGGATGGCTATGTATTTTTCAGGAAAGATAGGCCAGAAAGTCTAGGTAGTGGAATTGCCCTTTATGTGAAAGCAATGGGAACGTATTAAGGTCTGAATAGGGGCAGATGAAGAACCAGTTGAAAACTTAAGAATTAAGGGACAGGCTAACATGGGTCATACTGTTGAGGGTGCTTACTACAGGCCACTTGATCAGGAAGAAGTCATCGATGAGCCCTTCTAAAAACAGCTGAAGCATCTTCATGATCACAGGCTCTGGTTCTCATGGGGGACTTCAACATGATAGCTGCTGGAGAGACAACACGGCTAAAGACACACAGTCCAGAATGTTCCTGAGAGGCACTGGTGGTAACTTTTTGACACAGGTGATGGAGGAGTCAATGAGGATAAGTGTGTTGTTGGACCTCATGCTAAAAAGTACTGGCTGGGGATGTGAAGGTTGGGGGCAGCCTTGACTGAAGTGACCATGAGATGGTGGAGTTTAGGATCCTGTGTGAAAAGAATAGGGCAATAAGCAGGATTATGATAAGCACTCTGGAATTCATGAGAAGGCTAACTTTGGCCTCTTCAAAAACCTACTTTGTGGAATGCTATGTGTTAGGGCTCTGGAAGGTAGGGGTGATCCAAGAGATCTGGTTAATATTCAAGCATCACTTCCACCGAGCTCAAAATTGATGCACCTCTATAATTAAGAAATCAGGCAAAGGGAGCAAGAGACCTGCATGGATGAGCAAGGAGCTCCTGGTAAAACTCATACAGAAGAAGGAAGTTTACAGAATGTGGAAAAAAGGGGGAGACTACTTGGGAAGAATATGGGAACTTTGTCAGAGTACATGGGGATGCAATGAGGAAGGCTAAGGTCCATTTGGAATTAAATCTGAAGGGATGTCAAGGACAACAAGAAGGGCTTGTTCAAATACATCAGTAGCAAAAGGAGGACTAGAGGAAATGTGGGCCTGCTAAATGAGATGGATGCCTTGACGACAAATGATATAGAGAAGACAAGAGTTACTGAAAGTGTGCTTTGCTTCAGGATTTATTGCTGATGACAGCCTTTGGGAATCCCTGACCCTGGAGGCAAAAGAGAAAGTCTGGAGAAAAGAAGAGACTCCCTTGGTCAAGGAGGGTCTGATTAGAGATCATTTAGGCAAAACTGACAACCACAGATTCATGGGCCTTGATGGAATGCACCCATGAGTGCTGAGGGATCTGGTAGGTGTTATTGCTAAGCCATTCTCTACCACCTTTGGAAGGTCATGGAGAAAAGGAGAGGTGCCTGAGGACTGAAGCCAATGTCACTCCAGTCTTCAAAGATGGTGAGAAGGAGGATCCAGAAACCTACAGGGCAGGCACCTCCATTCTTGGAAAGGTGACAGAACAGCTCATCCTGGATGTCATCTCTAAGCATGTGGAAGAAAAGAAGGTTATCAAGAGTAGTCAACATGGATCTACCAAGAGTAAATCACAGCTGCCAAATCTGATAACCTTCTATGATTAAATGGCTGGCTAGGTAAGTGAGGAGACAGCAGTGGATGCTGTCTACCCTGATTTCAGCAAGGCTTTTGATACTGTCTCCCATAACATCCTCATAGGTAAGCTCAGGAAGTATGGGTTAAATGAGGGAACAGTAAGGTGGATTGTGAACTGGCTAAATGGCATAGTTCAGAAGGTTGTCATCAGTGACACTGCCTAGTTGGAGACCTGTAGCTAGCAGTGCACCCCGGGGGTCAGTACTGGGTCCGGTCTTGTTCAACTTATTAATCAATGACCTGGGTGACAGGACAGAGTGCAGGATCAGCAAGTTTGCTGATGATATGAAGCTGGGGGGAGTGACTGATATACCAGAAGTCTGTGCTGCCATTCAGTGAGATCTGAATAGGCTAGGGAGCTGGGCGGAAAGGAAGTTCAACAAAGGCAAGTGTAGGGTCCTGCACCTAGGGAGGAATAACCTCATTCACCAGTACACGCTAGGGGTTGACCTCCTGGAAAACAGCTCTGTGGAGAAAGACCTGGGAGTTCTGATGGACAAGTTGACCATGAGCCAGCGATGTGCTCTTGTGGTGAAGAAGGCCAGCAGTGTCCTGGGGTGCATTAGGAAGAGTGCGGCCAGCAGATCAGGGGAGGTTTTCCTCCCTCTCTGCTCTCTCTACTCAGCCCTGGTGAGGCTGCATCTGGGCTCCCCAGTTGAAGAGAGGGGCTCATATCAACTCATACAAATACCTTAAGGGTGGGTGTCAAGAGGATGGGCCAGACACTTTTTGGTGGTGCCCAGCAACAGGATAAGGGACAATGGGCACTAACTGAAACACAAGAAGTTCTATCTAAATGTGAGGAAAAACTTTACTTCTGGGATGAGAGAGGACTGGAACAGGTTACCCAGAGAGGTTGTGGAGTCTTTTTCTCTGAAGATATTAAAAACAGCCTGGATGTGATCCTGTGCAGTCTGCTTTAGGTGAAACTGCTTTGGCAGCAGAAGAGGGGTTGGACTAGATGCTCTCCAGAGGACCCTTGTAACCCCAACCATTCTGTGATTCTGTGATTCTGCATTTTAGCACTGACAAATATTCTTAGGGTGATGCAAAAGACATAGGATAAGGCTTTATCTCTCATGGCAGGGGAAACAATTGCCAAGAAGCAGCAAGAAGAAATCAGTGATTTTGGAATAGTTAAACAACATTATCTGAAAAGAATAACACCAGGTAAAACTGTGAAGTACTAATTCATATTACAAGTATCTTACCTTCTGGCATCGTTATGGTATGAAGAAGGAAGGGTATGAGTCATTCTAATAGTTCTGGGTGTTGGAGGAGGAGAAGTTTCACATTTGATTGTGGCTTTATCTTCACGTCCATCTTCTTCAACTACTGCGATCTGGGGGAGAGAGACTCCATTGAGAGCAGATTAGCTTTTCAAGAAAGTTGCAACATATGCTGCAGTAATTTGACAACAGAACTGAGCATGCACAGTTTCAGGTGCATTTTGGTTTTTGGCAAATTACAGTATCACAGTATCACAGTAGGTTAGAGATTGGAAGGGACCTCAAAAGATCATCTAGTCCAATCCCCCTGCCGGAGCAGGAACACCTAGATAAGGTTACACAGGAACGTGTCCAGGCGGGTCTTGAATGTCTCCAAAGAAGGAGATTCCACAACCTCCCTGGGCAGCCTGTTCCAGTGTTCCGTCACCCTCACTGAGAAGAAGTTTCTTCTCAGGTTTAAGTGAAACCTCTTGTGCTCCAATTTGTATCCATTACCCCTTGTCCTTTCATTGTTTGCCACTGAGAAGAGCCTGGCTCCATCCTCGTGACACTCCCCCTTTATATATTTATATACACTAATAAGGTCACCCCTCAATCTCCTCTTCTCCAAACTGTAGAGACCCAGCTCCCTCAGTCTTTCCTCATAAGGGAGATGCTCCACTCCCTTAATCATCTTAGTTGCCCTGCGCTGGACTCTCTCCAGCAGGTCCCTGTCCTTTTTAAACTGAGGGCCCCAGAACTGGACACAATATTCCAGATGAGGTCTCACCAGGGCAGTAGAGGGGAAGGAGGACCTCTCTCGACCTACTAACCACCCCCCTTCTAATACACCCCAGGATGCCATTGGCCTTCTTGGCCACAAGGGCACAGTGTCGGCTCATGGTCACCCTGTCGTCCACCAGGACCCCAGGTCCCTCTCCCCTACACTGCTCTCTAACAGGTCGTTCCCCAGCCTATACTGGAACCTGGGGTTGTTCCTGCCCAGATGCAGGACTCTACACTTTCCCTTGTTATATTTCATCAAGTTATTCCCCGCCCACTCTCCAGCCTGTCCAGGTCCCTCTGGATGGCAGCACAGCCTTCTGGCGTCGGCCACCCCTCCCAGCTTAGTGTCATCAGCAAACTTGCTGATAGTACACTCAATTCCCTCATCTAAATCGTTAATGAATATATTAAATAATACTGGTCCCAGTACCGACCCTTGAGGCACTCCACTAGATACAGGCCTCCAACTAGACTCCGCCCCATAGACTACAACTCTCTGGCTTCTCTCCTTCAGCCACAACCACCCACACCCACACCAACAATTGTAAGTCTTCTTATTTTTAAAAGAAGCTATTGGGAAAGAGCAATTGTCTAAATATGGCAGATTAAAGTATGTATTTGAAAGAAAGATCACATTTGAAGAAGAAATTAATTTCTCTTATGCCAAACAGGTTGATCCATTGAAGGTCTAAACATGAAAATAACCTTAAGACATGAGCATGTCTCTTCATTAAAAAGGATTATTTGAGTAAACAAAGTTTCTCAGGGATGTAAGGGAGAAGGTAAACACACACATAAATAGGACCACTCTCTCCATAGCTTGTTAACAGAATGATCAGAATGCTTGAAAATAAGCATGGACAAAAATGATTTTTTGATATCACAGCATATAATGGTTTACCTTTAATATTATCTCCTCTCATGCAAAGATAAATCCCACAATCAGTGCCAATGCTGTAAGTAACTTTATATTGCTTGAGAAAACTTCAAGTAATCTCACTCTGGTTCCTCCAGCAAGAAGAATGGTCAAAATACGTTTGAAGGTAATTCTTTTGCATCAACGCTTATTATTTAGTTAGTTTTAAACTGCATTCCTTTAAGTTCATGCTCTAGAGGCTACTACTCCCAGGTATCACTGGTGAGCCTTGATTCTGTGGCTTAGCTGTGATGCCTGCAAGCCTTTCCAGGTAGGATTAAAATGATTATATTCAGGAATTGAATGAAAAGGAGCAAAGGGGATGCAGAGGCTGGCAAGGTTATCTGAATAGCAGAGGAATATGAAAAATGTGCTTTCCCAAACTTAAAAACCCCCTCTAGTATCATACCTTTCTCCGATGTTTCCTTAGGTCACTTGGCTTAGGTTGTTAATAAAAGCAGCAACAATAAAAAAAGAATGATTAATAAATCTTATTTGAGCATAACAAAATGCCACACATTCATTCTTCTCACATTCAAAAGTGGAAAGCAGAAATTTCATTAATAACATCCATATTATATACTAATTATATGCTTGCTGTCATAACATAAACCCTGACAAATATGGCAATTTGGGAAAGCAGTTATTTTTTCTAAAGATATGTTCGTCTTCATTTTCATAAGCTTATCAAGAACAGGACATTGTAAGCTTATCACAGCAATTTTTAGTTTTTGTGTTTTCGTATAAATCTTTCCGCTACCCCCAACAGAGATTTATTTTTATCTAATATGACAATTGTATTGGTGTCTTGCCAAGTATAAAAAAACACCATCAACAAATACTATATCTGAAACAGGGGTCTTTCTCTCCAGTTACCTCATATCAAAGTGACTAGTGCTTTCAGTAAATGGAATCAAATGCACACATCTTCTGCACTGAAGCATTATTTGGAAGTAGAAGGCTGCTAGAATATGTCTTGTTTGACACCCTTTTCATTTTTTATTTTTGTTAGATCTTTCATTCATTTAAAGCTGAAGATGCTCTGCAGGATATATTTACTGCATTTACCTGGGCTGCAGAAACTCATGCAGTACTGCTTCTCCAGCCAACTCCTACAGAATTATTAGGCAATTCGTGCTCTGGAGATCGAACTTCTACAAAACATTTCCCAACACAAAGTTTCCACATAGAAGATGTCTGACAGCCAGTCAGTGCCTGTCACCAGCCAGAAAGGAGGAAGTATTCAACACTGTGCTCCTGCTGAAACAGTGCTGGGCAGAAGTGTCCTGAAATGGTTGATGATGGTGAGCAAGGCTGTGGGCTGTGCTGCTGAGCACCCAGTCAGGTGCTGCTTTTACAGCTTATGGTGTATCTAGAACTCAACTGCAACTTACGCCATACAGACATCCCCATTTGAGCTTTAGCACAGCTAGAGCTGGATATCAGTGAGTCCATGGCAACCTGAAGATGAGAGGCTATGCTGTCATTTCATATTTGAATCTGATGAATCTACTGACCCAAAGCTACTGTGTCCAAATCAAGGCAACCAGGCAGTGCAGGTGTCTGCTGGAAGGTCAGTTTAACCCTTGCATTTATCTGTAGCCAGACTGCTTTGTTTAACTGCATGTTGAAAAGGAAGTAATCTGCATATTTCTGAAGGTGCTGCTTTGGTGAAGCGAGCGGTACCACAGCAGCCTGTACACCCACCTCCTCCACAACTCTCTGTGCCACCACCGTTTTCATTTCTGCTGTTCAGCAGTGGGAATTGGGGGCTTCAAAGAATCAGTACTGCAGTCTGCCACAGCTGCCAGCCCTGACCTCCTCTGCTGTTCCAAGAAGGCAGCAAACACCATGCCTGAACTGGGAGGGGCAGAGCTGGATACAAGTCCTCAGATCCCAGGAAAAGGAAGTACTTAGTTAAATAATGGTAGACAGAAGCCCCTAGTCGCAGCTGAGCAGAATTAATAGGCAGGCTCCACTCCCAGTTCTTCTTAGGCAGCCTTCTTGGCTAGGAGAGTTAATTTCTGCCTTGTGATTGAGATCAAGTCTCATTTCCCCTCTGCTGAGAGGCTCCAAAGGGAACCATTGCTGCTGCTCCCCAGGAATGGACCACAAGGGGACACTGGGGACACCACGATTATCAGAGAAACAGCAAATAAAAAATAGGATTACACGTATCTTATTCTCTTCCCTGCACATAGAGATCAGCAGAGGCAGCTGCTCTGATTCAATCCTAGTGCTTAAAGGGATGAATTCACCCAGGCTCAAAAATAGTGTGTAGACTGCTCTGAACGCTGAATACTGCATCTGCATCCTTATCAGAGGTTTATGTCTTGAATATGTCAGTGCATATTACCTTCATTTACTAGACTGTTGCACTGTTACTTTTTGTCTAAGATAAAAAGTAATTTTTTTTTTTTTTTTTTTTTTGCAAATCCCCTTTCAAATCAAACCAGGCATTTCAGAATATGTCCTCAAAGGTACAGTATTTTAAAAATGCTTTGCATGGCAATTTGATAGCTTGGTATCTATTTGTATGCTGCTTGTAATGTTAAAAATGTACCAGTGAAATTAACTATTGGAAAAAAACCACTTATTTCAAGTATTTGATAAACCACGATGAAGAATACATACAAAATGTTGCAAGTATATACTAAATATATAAGTATATCCAAATTATGATATATATGAATTAGTAGAAGGTTTTAATGTCTTCTAGACATTTCCTGGAAGTTTAAACTTGGCAGTAGTCCCACAGACTACTGTGTAACAGCTTTTCATTAGCAAACATTTTTACATGTAAATTGATTACAGTAATTCCAGTAATCAGTTCTGTTTCTTATTAATTCCACAGCCTGTGTGCTGGAAGCCCTTGGTCCTCAGACCATTATGCCCCTGGTGAATCATGCAATGCTCAAAAACACAATACAAAACCCCAAACAACCCAAATGCCCATATCCTAGTGAATTTGCTATGTATATGTACATCAAAGAGGTGAATAAAGAATTAGAGATAAGCCATTCATACAGTGAAAAATTAAGTATTTAATACCAGAAATATCACACCTACAATTGTCATCACAAAATTTCTTACCAGCGTCATAACTCCCATTCTGTCCATCTCCCTGGCTGGACTGCGAGGGGTGAGCTTAGGAGTTGAGTGTCCGCTGGGAGGAGATGAGCTTGCAAGTGACGATGCTGTCACCGACCCAGTAATGGAGGTACCTTGGTGGACTCTGGCCAGATTTAAGCCTTCCAGACTTACACTGGCCACTCTGTTCTCTATCTCTTCTGCACGCAGTTCTGTCGACTCTTTCTCTTCTTGGATTAACCTTATTTGACAAAAGAAAATGTTGTATTTGTCTCTGATACCCCAAAAGCAAACATTCTTTCAAATGAGAGTTGAAAGTAAAAGAAAACAAAGATAAATATAATAGATCAACACAAAAATAATATCGAAAAGGGTATTTTTTTAATTACCAGAATGAAAAAATATAGACCATATAGGGGAGGGGGAGTTAACAATCCGATTTACTACAGGAAAATAATTCCAGTCTTAAGTTGGCTTCATCTGATTTTCTGTTGCTAAAGCACAAACACAAACCTCAACTCTAATGAAACTGGGCCTTTAAGAAGGGAATTGCTAAAATAATCCAAATTAATAAAACAAGAGAACATGTAAAACAAATTGTCTGTTTCACCCCTATGAATTGAGGAAAAAATGAGAATTGCTTCTAAAGCACTGAGGTTTTAAGTGAATTTCATTAAAACAGCTCTCTTAGCAAAAAATATAAGCTTCTTAAACACGGCCTCAATAGGATGCTTTGACTGGGATTTCAGTTTTGTTTTTTAATTGTGATTTCACCTAGAATGAAAAAATGTGTTTAAAATCAAGTGTTTGTTTATAAGTCCTTTGCCCATCAACTCAGGTTAGAAGGAGTCTTCTTTTCTTTTCTTTTTTTTTTTTTTTGTGAAGAGAAGGAAAAAGTATAAAGGATTAGAACAGAAAAGTTATTCAAATTCAACATATTCCAGTAGAGTTCTCCCTTTAAAGTTATCTTGCTCAGAGAAAGACTGACAGCTGGCAAAGGTAATCTGGTTTTGATTGGATTTCTAACCAGTCTTTCTGTCTATAAAATCAGAGAATGGTTTGGGTTGGAAGGGATCTTCAAATGTCATCTAGTCCCACCTCCCTGCAATGAGCAGGGACATCTTCTACTAGACCAGGTTACCCAGAACCTCATTCAGCCTGGCCTTGAATGTCTCCAGGGATGGTGCATCTATCACCCTCACAGAGAAAGCCACTAATACAATTAGTAACATCTCCTTTACCTCCTAGAGAAAGTCACTAATGAGAGGGGTTTTTTTTCATACACCATGTTGGGTTTTTTTGTTACCCTACAGTTACATGTAGGAATGCTGTAAGCCTAAAATATGGTTTCATTTATAAAAATCAATTAAAGTATGCCATTGGATTCTCTATCATTCCATTCAATTTTCAAGCAAATTATGAAGATACATTCAGTTCACCACCTATTTTCAAGCATTGTAACCCAACTTGGAGCATGAAAAATCACATTCAATGCCTCCATAGAAAATAAAAACCACATCTTAGAAAACATGGTTTATATTAGATGTAACATAGAAGAACATTACCAGAAGAAAGCATGAAGAAAACTGAAATAAAATACATCTGAAAGGAGGTCATTACTGACTAAATGGAGTCATGCGGAAAGGTGAAAAAGACCTTGAAAAGAGGGATATGAGTAGTGGTCTGTCACATCTGCCATGTGTTAGCCTTCTCTAGTATATTTCTCTTAAGTTGGTCAGCAGTTCTTCACTTGGAACATTTTATAAAGGAAATTTCTATGGTTAGGGAATGAGGATGCCACTGCTGTCTTCACATAATCATTACTCTCATGAAAAGTAGATACACTATCAAACATTTAAATGTGCAAGAGCTGTTCTAATTGTTATGAATGGTACTTTAACTCATGCACTAAAGGAATCTTGAAGCTGTAATCATAAGTGCATCACAACTGGTTCATGCTACATACCTGATTTCCTTATTAATGGCATCTAGCTGCTCCTGAAGCATCATGGCCAGAGTCTGGGCATCAGAATGGCCACTTGGTGACAAGAGGTCCATGGAGCTGAAAAGTGTTTCTCTATCATCATCATCTATGTCAGACATTTCAGTATCACTTTCAAATGGATGACTGCTCAAAACACCAATCTGCTGGCTTCTATTCCACTCATGATCTCCAAGTGATTTCACCTGAGGGGCAATAAGGATGTATATGGCCTATTCCATGTAAAAGATCTGCAAATGTGAACTTCTATAAAATGGGAAAGGAAAACAACTAACATTTAAGAATACTTATTCAATGATTAATTCTCCATTAATACTTGCAGTTTACCACAGATGATGTGAAGTATTTTCACATAATTTCTAATGGTGTATAAAATTACTATCAGGAAAATTTACACAAAAAGGATGCCCAGAAAAGGCAGATAGTCTAGTGTGCTTGAACTTTGATGTCTTAACCTTTCCTGCCTTAATTTTAGTACAGTACTCATGTCTGAGCATGTGTAGAAAAAACCCTGCTATTTGGCTTGGTTTTCTTGTTTGGTGGGTTGTTGTTTTTTCTTGTTTTCTGGAAAAACACAGACTATAAGCTTAACAGCCTAAAATACGTTCTACTACCAGCCAGCATATAAGAACAAATTGGGGATTAACCTTCGGTTCATCTCTGCAAACTCCCATCCGGCCTCTTCTAGGTCGCCTTATCACTTTTGTTGACCGATAGTCAGACTGGCTATCAACCAGTGAGCCCACAGAGTACCTCAGCTCTGCTGATGAGTCAAGGTGAGGCCTATAAAAAAAACACACTGGTAGACTGAGAAAGTAATAGTAATAACAATTCAATGACCTTCAGTCTAGGAACACAGATTTCTTTTTGTAAACAAACAAATTATTATGTATCAAATAATAAATGACAAAACTGCATCACAAGAAAGAATTTGAAAGTGAAAACTTATTATGAGAAAATTGAGGGGTTTATAGAAAGTGGATCTCTCAGGGATCGGTGTTGGGACTGGTCTTGTTTAACATCTTTGTCGCTGACATGGACAGTGGGATTGAGTGCACACTCAGCAAGTTTGCCGATGACACCAAGCTGTGTGGTTCGGTTGATACGCTGGAGGGAAGGAATGCCATCCAGAGGGACCTCGACACGCTTGTGAGGTGGGCTGATGCCAACCTCATGAAGTTTAACCATGTCAACTGCAAGGTCCTACACCTGGGTTGGAGCAAACCCAAGCACAGCTACAGGCTGGGCAGAGAAGAGATTCAGAGCAGCCCTGCGGAGAAGGACTTGGGGGTGCTGGTCGACGAGAAAATGAACATGAGCTGGCTTCAGTGTGCGCTTGCAGCCCAGAAAGCTAACCATATCCTGGGCTGCACCAAAAGGAGCGTGACCAGCAGGTCGAAGGAGGTGAACCTGCCCCTCTACTCTGCTCTCGTGAGACCTCACTTGGAGTATTGTGTACAGTTCTGGTGTCCTCAACATAAAAAGGACATGGATCTGTTGGAACAAGTCCAGAGGAGGGCCATGAGAATGATCAGGGGACTGGAGCACCTCCCATATGAAGATCGGCTGAGAAAGTTGGGGCTGTTCAGCCTGGAGAAGAGAAGGCTGCATGGAGACCTCATAGCAGCCTTCCTGTATCTGAAGGGGGCATATAGGGATGCTGGGATGGGAATCTTCATTAGAGACTGTAGTGATAGAACAAGGGGTAATGGGTTCAAACTTAAAGAGGGGAAGTTTAGATTGGATATAAGGAGGAAATTCTTTCCTGTGAGGGTGGTGAGGCACTGGAATAGGTTGCCCAAGGAGGTTGTGAATGCTCCATCCCTGGCAGTGTTCAAGGCCAGGTTGGACGAGGCCTTGGGTGATATGGTTTAGAGCGAGGTGTTCCTGCCCATGGCAGGGGGGTTGGAACTTGATGATCTTAAGGTCCTTTCCAAGCCTAGCTATTCTATGATTCTAAATTAAGGAAGAAACTAAACAAATAAAACCTTTGATTTTTTAAAATTAGATTGCACAATAAAACTTATTGTCCAAAACTGTAGCATGAAAAAATAAGCAGATTTCAGGATAATTAATAGAACTGGCTGTGGAATGTACAATCCTATATATTTTCCTTCCATTACTTTCCTGAATATGTCTGAGCTTCCATGTGTTACATGTTCATGAGTAAGGATATCTATAACCCTTTCAATACCTAAAGGAGTCTGAAGAGGGACTTTTTACAGGGGCATATTTTGACAGGACATAGGGGAGATTCAGATTAGACATTAGACACAAATTCCTTACTATGAGGGTGGTGAGGTTGCCTGGAGAAGTTGTGGCAGTGTTCAAGGCCAGGCTGGATGGGGCTCTGAGCAAACTGGTCTATTGGAAAGTGTCCCTGCCCATGGCAGGGGGGTTGGAACTACATGATCTTAAGGTCCTTTCCAACCCAAACTATTCTATGATTCTGTGTAGTGCAAGTATTATTGGTTATCAGAGAAAAGTTCTATTACAGTAAATACTGTACACAGAAAAAAACAGTAACTGCCCTAAAGGTAGACCATGTCACCCAAGAATCTGTCCAACCTGACCTTTGAACACTTCCAAGGATGAAGCATTCACAACTTCCTTGGGCAACCCATTCCAGGTCCTCTCTACCCTCACAGTAAAGAACTTCTTTCTTATATTTAACCTGAATTTCCCCTCTTTAAGTTTTAATCTGTTACCCCTTGTCGTATCACTACAGTCCCTAATGAAGAGTCTGTTCCCAGCATCCCTATAGGCCCCCTTCAGATACTGGAAGGGTGCTATGAGGTCTCCACGCAGTCTCACAAGCCCCTCATTCTCATGGCCATCCTCTGGACTTCCTCCAGCAGCTCCATGTCCTTCTCGTATTCAGGACACCAGAACTGTACACAGTACCCCAGGTGGGGTCTCACGAGAGCAGACTAGAGGGCAGCATAACTTCCTTTGACCTGCTGGTCACACTTGTGCACTTGTGCAGCAAGTTGGCAGGAAAACAGAAACAGCTGAGGTTCCAGTGTCTGACAGCAGATATTTATCAGCTGGCCAGCTTCAGTATTCTGCTGAATGAACAAATTCCTGCAAATACAGAGCTGAATATGGCTGAAAACAATTAGTATTTAATGTGGCACCTCCCTATTCCTGAGAGGGCTGGTAGATTTGCAAGGTGAGGTCACAGGAAAAACATACTGTTTTAGGCAAACCTGCTGAATTCTCAAGACATTTATACAGTTTATTAAATTCAAACAGCCTTTTGACAAGGGCTAATCAGACTCCAATTTACAGGGCACAGGTTAATGATACCCATCTGCCCAACAAGAAAGGCTGCTGATCACCATGAATGGCTGCTCCAAAACCTCAGCTGTTGCAGCAGTTCAATAGTCTGTCCCCTCACAAGCACTCTTAAGAAAGTGTTCTGTGTGAGTGTAGTCAGACTTACACTCCCAAAGGAATAAAAATTACAACAGTTATAAGCATCACATTCTGAATTTCATGGATTTACACTTCTCCATGTACAGAAAAATATTGTTCCAAAAGATAGTAAAAGGCTGAGGGAGAAACCATGTCTAGATACCGAGCAAGATGCCTGAGGAAACAAAGGGCAGACAATACCTGATGCAAGAAAACCATCCAACAACAATGTCCTGGGTTAGCAGTCATTTTTCTCTTTCTTGGTAGCTGGTGCAGTGCTGTATTTTGACTTTTGGGCTGGGAAAGAGCTGATAAAAATGATTTTTTGGTTTGGCCAAGGATTTTGTGACCCTCATGCTCTGTCAGGGAGGAGGGAAGGTGTGAGGAAGCAGAGACAGGACACCTGACCCAAACTGACCAAAGAGGTATTCCATAGCACAGCACGTCATGCCCAGGGGGGGAACTGGGAGTTACCCGGAAGGACAGGGGGTCTGCCAGGTCGGACTTGTTCGGCGGGTGGTATTGTACTCTTTTCCCTTGCTATTATCTCTTATCATTGTTGTTAGTGGTGGTAGCGGTGGTAATTTGTGTTGTACATTGGTTGCTGAACTGTTCTTATCTCAACCCCTGGGAGTTGCATTCTTTCTGATTCTCCTCTCCGTCCTTCCAGGGGTAGGGGGAGGGTAAGAAGGGGGGGAGTGGGTGAACAAGCTGTCTGGTTGGGGTTAAACCACGAGAAACAATAACTTTAGAAGGTTACAGTGCTCTGAATTTAGACTTGGTCCATGAGCTTTTGCTGCCAGGATTTAAAAGCCAGTGTTTGTTATGAAAACTGTATATGGCACACAATTATACATAAAGTAACAATTTTATTTTGAGGGATACTTCTAGACAAGGACTTCCTAGAATTATAAATTAATTTCAAGTGTTAGTAGCTATTTTTATGGTATCTGTCACTATTGTTTCCATATTGCTTTCCTACTGAAAAGAGGCATAATGTTTACTGTCCTGTTATTATATTTTCAGATCTCACTGAATACTGCCACCATCCTCAGCTGAAGATATAACTGATAGAATAAATAAATAAGTTCATAAATACGCTGATCAGTTTCAGCATTAAAGATGATTATTTCAACTTTAAGGTCTCCTGAGGGAAAAAAGGGTATTTAGATATAAGTTTCATTCCATAATTTAAAAGACTTTTCTTAATCTTAGTAATATTTCTGTGTATACTCACTGCTATAAGGCCCTGTTTACCTATGAAAAAAGTAAAAAGCAACAGTAATAATCATCACACAGATTTTATATTTCTAACGAAATACATGATTGTTTCACACACGGTCTGAGCACATCCCTGTCATAAAGACTTGACTCATATTTATGTTCTGTTTCAACTTGGAGTTGGAACTTTTTGAGGAAACTTTTGTCATTAAGTATTACCTTGACAGGGTGGGTTCAATTAAAGAACCAGCCCTCAATTTCATTTGATCCAGTTCAGATCTCAGTTTCTCAATTTCTTCAGCAAGTCTTTCCTGAAAACGAGAGTAGTAATATACACTTACTTGTAATACAAAATGCATTTACATTATGAGATACTCTTCTCATAAAGCTAAAGAAGATAAGATACACTGAACATAGCACTGACTGTAATAAGAAAGGGCAGTGAACTCATTCAAGTCTCGTTATTGCTAGTAAGACATATGCATTGAAAGGAGGTTGTATAGCACTACTGTTTTTCCACTACCTGCAAGTGATGGCAGGACAGCTTTGTCCCTGAAACATATGGGGGTTTTTTTATTCTTCTTATACAGCTAGGGTGAGAAAAAGAAGAACCAGCACTGATTTGTGCACTAATTGCACTCTCCTTGTCAGGTATAGTTCAGCATGCAACACACCATTTGCCCTTCAGAGAACAAGAGTGCATCCTGGCCTTGTTATTTACAGTTACCAACACAGACTTAGAGGCAACCACATTTTAGGTGAATTGTTAAACTGCAGCTTTAGAGCTCTTGGGAGTTTATGAAACTCCAGCATGAGGTGCTGCTGGCAAAAAATGACTGTGCCACAGAAGTAGGATTTTTGTAACCAGCTTACAAAAAAACTATTGGCAGCAACCATTAAGTACTGCTCCCAAGTTGTACAAAAAACTAGCATCTCTAAATAAAGTTTAAAAATTTTGAAAATAATAAAAAAAAAAGAAATTAAGAGACAACATGAGAGATGAAGACATTACACTGCTGCTACTACAGTTTAAAATGTTCAGAATTCCAAAACACTAGGAAGGAAAAGGATCTGTACTTAAGTAATAACATATTCAGTAATTCTTATTGCAGTATTTTTGCAGTAATTCTTGAGTGAATAAAATTACTGAGATGACTTTGTGGGCAGTCTAACAGTATCAACTGCTAGTTATTTAGAGATTATTAATATTGGCTGTCATGTCTATCTGAAATAGCTTCATCGGTTTCTTCATCAAAGTGGAATAAATAAACCATTCAAGGTGGGAGCTAGAAGCTTGGGAGTCAAATGCATGCAGTTTGTGTAGAGGATGAATTTCCAGTTGCACAAAGTGGTAGCGGAGGTTTTCTACGTAATTCACTTCCCACCCGTAAGCAAGAATCAATAAATATAATAAATGGAGATAGCTTTCCAAAATCACTTTTGATAGAAATATATTTTTTTATACCAGACTTTCCATTTTTGTCAAGATTTGATATGCACATTCAAGCCAGAAAACAGACTGAAAAAGAATTAGCTATTGTATTTACTTCCACTATTATAACACGATTAAAACAATATTATGTTGGAGATAAGACTGGAAAAATTCGTTATTTACATAGACAAAACTGGTATCCATAATACAGATTTAGGTGCTCTGGTAGTAAAATGACAGCAACTTTTGTTTCAAGTGACACAGCTTTAGAAACGTCCTTTCGTTACCTAACTTGGTGAAGTATGACCCTGATTTTGTGACAGCTGAATCATCTTGTAACTGTGGCAACACAGTACATAAATTTTATTTATCTAAAGTACAATTACACTACAAGCTCCTTTTGGGGACTTTAATCTCGTTGCCTTTCTACAGTTATCTGAATAGAGATGAAAATAAAAATTTGTTTGAACAGATACTTCTTTTGTTATTTTTCTCAAAGATCTTGATTTTGGATGTCATATGATGTAACTATATTAGTGTCAAATGGAGCTATGTTTATTAAATTCTAAACAATCACTTTTAAATGAATTTGAGACGTGGCAAAACCACTTCTGTGAATCGGAATGCAGACACATTTGTGTATCCAACTGTGCTCAAGGCAAGTATAACTTCAAAACAAAATCCTAACATTTGGGATTGGAACAAATTTTTATAATTAATTTGACTGGTTCACCAAACAGTATGAGGGGTTAATTTGTACCCAAATGAACATAGCCCCTCTCAGCTATTTTTAGTATAACTCCACTGCACCTGTTCAGAAGAATTGCATCAAATCAAGAAATTACATTCTTCACCATGAAAGCGTATCCAGTTATGCATATATCTCCATTAACCAAGCCATTTTCAGAATTAAAACTGATAGAACAAAAATTCCAGAGCCAGTGAAATCAATATAAATTTTCATATTGACTTCCTGAGGCTAGAATCTCAACCATGAACTTAGCTCAGAACAATTGTTAGAGAGCCTTAAAGGTTAGTTAGGGCATATTAGTGATTAAAGAAATTATTGATGTCAGGAAGATTTTACATGCTAGCTGGACAGTTAACATACCATATATCTATATCCAAATAATAAATAAATACATAAGTTTTGGTAAAAAAGATAAAATCACAGAATAGTACCTTGTCATGTAAAGACTCTTCCAGATTTTTCCTGAAACTTTCAGATTCTTGAATCAAAACATTCTAAAAAAAAAAGAATAAAACAAAACAAAAAAACACCACCCCCCCAAAAAACCCCAAAACAGAAAACAAACACCAAAAAGCAAACAAAACAAACAAACAAACAAACAAAAATAAAAAAAAAAAAGAACACAAAAAAAAGAAAGAAATTAGAGCTGTGTTAAATATCAGATATTACCATACATGGGTAGCCTCCATGTATAAGGTAGCAAAATAAGCAAAATTCATGTTTACTGGACTTTAAAATTAAAATCCCTTAATGCCTCAGTTTGAGCATATATTATATTTTAAACTCTGGAAATAATTCAAAATAATCATTTTATTATTTTATTTATTATTATTTATAATTATAATTCAAAGATCACTTTTTTTCAAGAACAGCAAAAACTGCATCTTTTTTGAACTGAGCAACTGCCACACTCTTAACACAACTATTCTCCAAGGTTCTTCTTTTGGCAGGCCTATTTCTTGCTTTGTACATTTTGTTTCAATGATATAAATCTGAAGTACATCCTCTTGAGAGACTCTGAAATATCCTACTGGAAGATGCCCCTCAGATCAAACTGAAGAGGAATAATTAATTAGAAGAGGCAGAAATCAAGGATGGCAAATATAAAGGTCAAGGGAGCTGAATTTTGCAGGCCCAATGTCTCACATCAAAACCTGCAAATAACACTTCCCAGAGGAAGTGAGGTAAAATCAGCAGGTTAAACTGCAGGAATGATAGTGTATCTGAAACGTGTCCATACCACGGTCTCATCCAGTTTTTCTCACTGCCTCATACCATGTTTTGCATTGGTCATTTACAAGCTCTTCTCCAGACTCCCCACTGGTAAACAGGGACTCATAGTATTCAGCATATCCAGTTTGCAGGAGTTCTGGAAAAATGTTTGAGCATACTCTTGAATTAATTGTGGAATGTGTAAGTTAGACCATATTTGTGGTAATATTTGGTAATACAAAAATCAGCATCATGCCTCCATCCTAATAAAAGCAGAATGTACTTCATACAGGAGAAGCCTTATTAAGCTGAAATTTTTACTGCTCTTTGCACTGTACCTTTTCTTCAAGTGCTGCCATTCTTTCTTTTAAGTGTAGCTGCAGACGCTCATTGGATTCTGTCAAAAGTCTGTCTACAGTATCTGATAATCTTTTGTTGTGCTCCTCATTCATTTTTTCTCTTTGCCTTGCCTTTAATGTAGAAGAGACAGATCAGTAATTAACCATTAAAGAGTCGTATCATTAAAAAATAATTTTAAAAATTATGGTAACTGTAGACATTTGAAGAAATTAAACAGGAAATGTAATTACAGTTACTGATTAATGCACATTAATTTTTCTACCAGCAGAATACTTTGAATGCTGTGACTAGATGTAAACTAGTGCATTATAAGATGGTTAAATAAAGTGGGAGGATGCTGCTAGAAATAAAACATTTATCAGTAAATAGATTTGTGTGCTGGAGTGCTTAATGCAGCGCTTTATTGACAAATTAAACCAAGAAAAGTGCACAGAAATTGTCTGCAATGCACATACTCTTTGAAGTTCCTGATTCTTCTCTTCAAGTTGAGCTTCTAAGTGTCTCATACGTTCCTCAATATTTCCATGTCTTTCTTCTGCCTGTAAAAAACATAAAAATCCTCTTTCTTTAACTTAAGTTGCTTCATAAGTTTTTATGTCAGTAAAGTTTAAACAAAACATAAAGCAAGCTACTACTAACTGCAAAATTAGTTTTCCAAAAAGAAACTTTATTTAAACAGGCAGCTGAACAGCATTGCTTGAAATGTGTCAGCTACAAAGGCCTGTTACATCCAAGCATCAGCAAAACATTGGAGTTATTTATGAGCAATGAATCAGCCAAATGTAACATGCAGACTGTGCATGGTTTGAACACAAACCTGCCATCGTAAAATTGTAAGCTCCTGAAGCACTGAACTGCACGATGGTTGATTATCAATAAAAATAAAATAAAATAAGTTAAAGAAAATGAAAACAAATCAGATGGATTCTATTTAGCAATAGAAAGTAAAGTCCAGTAGGACTACCTTCCTACGTATGGAGATCATTTCTTGTAGTTTAGCTTCCATAACATATTGATAATCATCAGATGAGGTAGAAGAGGTTGGATCAGACTAACAAGTCAAGGAAAAGGAGAGGGACAAAATTGAAAAATCAGAACTAAAGACACTGACACTGAACAGAACACAGCACAGAATGCTTAAAAGAAAAGTGTGACGGAAAATTTAATACTTTGAACTGACAGATTTTTACGTGGAATAAACTACACTGATACTTGGTGAATATGATGCAGTTGATGTGGAGAAACTGAAAATAATGGAATGCTAAAAAAGCTATCAACCTACACATGGAGGTTCAAGGTTAGTGATGGCTGGCTGATGACATATTACTACAGAATTCAAAGCAATACTGTCTAATCTAATGGGTTATTTTTTAATTATGTCAAACTAAAAACCAGGACTCTGTGAGGCCAATGTCAGAAAGTCCTTCATAAGTCTACTATCATTTTCTAAGTATGAAAACAATGCATAAATACTAAATTAATGGTTGGCCAGTTACAGAACTAAGCAATGTTAATGGTACGTTCCCTAATTTCTAGAGAACAGAAAGAACATCAAAAGAGACAAGGCTCAAGCTTTAGTATTCCATTTTAGAATACGCTACATAAGCCCTTTCATCCAAATAAACAATACAGTTTTAATCCCTTTGAAAGGATCCACCCTGGTGGATCTCTTTGGAAGATCAAGGTCACCAGATAAAAGAACCTATAAATAAAAATTCATTAATAGGAATGAAAAGTCATTACCGAGTATAGAAATGGTAATCCATCCAAAGACTCATTACTATTTCCGACACAAGTTGACCTTAATTAGGTCATGTGTTGCAAAACATGAATATTCATGTTATTGTCATATCAAACAAGTCTATGTTATTATTCAAAATGAAAAAAAAAGAAGCATCTATAAGGAAAGGGGAATGCTATATTGGATTCGTTGCTATGGAAACAGGATTGTGCATAGTGTCTATGTCATGTGCATAGACAGTGCTGATGATGACTTTGAGTTGTGAGGTAACTCTTGTCAAATGCTATTTCACTCTGTCATATTTATCCTCTCTCAAAAAGAGATCCTGAACTCCATCTTTAGGTGAGTGAACTTTAATACGTACAAGAAATATCAATTTTACAACCTTTTTTTTTAGATAAGACTTTTTCATAGTCAACTTCTAATGATTTATCAGAATAATTAGGGATACCAATGTAATTCCAGATATATATCACAACTTAAAATTACCCATAACTAAAATTCAGTAGTATTATCAGGACCAAAAGCTCAGAGAAAAAACAAGCCTGTGATCTAGAGATTTAACATAAACTGCAGCTTTTGATATGAAGATATCCACATAAGAAAATCCTGCTTTGAATAAATACAAGAATAATGCTTAACTCTTTGACAATTACTACTATTTTCAGAGTAAGTATATTCACAAAACTCAGACTCTTCCAAAATTGAAGGGCAACAGTACATTTTGTAACTAAGGTAATTTAACAAGTGCAGCTATTGTTTCTTATCATGAAGCAGGTGTAATGTGACGTATCTGACTTACTATCTGTAAATATTTTGTCTATTTATTACAAATTGCACCTGTGACAATCCCTTCATGATTTTCTTTATCTTTCAGTTGTATTAAATAAATAGAAAGATAGTACTGAAAAAGTGAAGTCCTCACAGAAAACCAGATCATGCTATCCCTTCTGTGAAGTGACCAAGCTTCATCCTACTCTGCAGAAGATAGTCTTTTCCCCTTTTTGAGTCCTGGCTGCACTACTGATTCAAGGCTTTCCCTTAATGCATCTCCAAGGGTCAGGAGATTTGAAATCATCAAAGATAGGCTAATAATGGAAAAGGCTGAACTAATTCTATCTCATTTTTAAACCATTTTTATTGAGGGAGATAGAGAACCCATTGGGTGTATCATCCTACAGAATTAAACTGCTTAGAAGCTGTATTAACTGACTGCAAACTTAATCTTTGCTGCTTCTGTACTCTTAATTGCAGGTTAATGCATAATATGAAGATGACTAAACTAATACTTCCAGATTCAAAGAGAATCTCATTTAAATATTATGAAATGTGGTGCTGTTTGTCACAACCCATCCTTGAGAAGCCAGTCTAGTGAGCTACATAATTTACTTTTTTTTTTTCTCTAAAAGAACAAAATTGTTTCATAACTGAGACATCAAACAAGCATAGGTGCACCTCCTCAGTACCCATCCTGGGCTCTAATGCTGTTTAGGGATTTCAATCATAGTTATGTGCCAAATGCCTGAGCAGCTGCTGCTCATTGCCCTTTATGCTGAGGAAGGCCCCAACCGTGGTCTCAAGGAGGCCCTTCTGCACAAAAAGACCTAGTAATTTATCTGTTTTCTAACGAATTTGCCAGTGCCTCCTGCACAAACTTCTCCAGGCCACACTGTCATAAATATATTGAATGTCTTCATCTCTGCTTTGTGATTTGAGGCATGAGGCAGAGGATGACAGCAGTGTTAGTCATGTTCCCTAAGCAAAGTTTCAGATACATGAGACAGAAGGGATAACTGTGGACTCATGATCACAAACAGAAGTTGGATTTCTTCTGACTTGCTTTGCTAAGAGGTAATTGAATTCAAACCTTTCTGAAGTGGAACTTGCTTCACTACTTTTTTGGCAGACCTTACCCTCCATTCTCTTCAATATATGACTTGTATGCCTGTTCTCTATCCCTTTGTACATGAGGATTAATAAGACACATAGTGCACTATTCAGCAATTAGAATTTAAAGTGTTTAGCCAGCACATTCAGATATAGATTTGAGAAAATGTATATCACAGACTGGATTAAAAATATAAAAATATAAAAAATTCTGACCCCTATAGACAGCAGCATGAGTCTCGATGCTCACTTTGCACTCTGTATGCTATGAAATAGAAAAAAATTAGCCAGTATAAGCCAGTAACACAGGAAAATTTTGCTTTGAGGGAACACGGAAGCAGCTTGTATTACTGCTGTCAAACCCTGTTAAAACTCTGCTGCACCTGCTGCTAATACTCCCACAAAAAAGATGCTGCTTTCATGTCATCTGTTACTATTGGCACTGCACATTTTTCAGGTCTTTGCATCTTAGTTGAAAAAAAAAAAAAGTCCAATTTCAGATGCAGAAACCACCTGTACAGTACCGGTGCTGAATTTTTCTTCTTTGTGCTGATCTGCAAGAGAAATCTAAACTTTCCTAACGGTACAAGCCTGTTTCCAGTTTTGAGACCTTGACTTTTGAACACCTGCAGTCTCCAGATTTTCTAATGGCTTCTTATAGCAAACTCTTCTGGCTATCCATTCAATGAGTTACTGAAGAGGAAAGAATGCATTATTGAATTAAGCTGTGCAACTGACGGAGAAAACAGGTGACCATGGTGACTGAGTCACAACAGCTCACAGTTATCAGCTATTTGTTCACATGCTCACATCTAACCTGTTGAAATGTGACAAAATGTGCTGGCTTAAGTCAATACTTTTTCTGAAACCCAGCCTTTCAGTCACTAGATATCCACACATTCTTGTTCCTTCTTTTCCTCACTATCTTCTACACTTTGTAGGTTTAGTAAGCAACACCTTCTATTTAGTTCTGCTTCTTTCATTTCTTCTTCCTGTCAGGACAGTATCTTCTGTGGAAAGGGAAGCACAGGAAGAGAGGTGGCTTGAAAAGACAGTAATGTGTTGTAAATGTGGAGGCTTCCCTCCCCATAGAAGATTTATTTTTTTCTTCAGAAGAGGATTTATCAACTTTTTTTTCTATTTAACACATCATCTTCTCTCTATCCCTTGTTCTCATTGAGGTTTCTGTCTTAACCACATCCATTTTTCCCAAGAGAAACTTTATTGCATCCTTTCCATCGCAAACCTTCTCTTTTCAATTTCTTGCAACTTCTTCCCTACTTACTGCAAACCAGTTCTCTACATTGACACAAAAGAAGCACTGTGTCCAACCTGCCTCCAACTTTCAAGTCATTCTATACCATCTTTAAAATTACCTGAAGGTGTTATTATGCTAAATGTGGTTTATTATGATTATGGTTTCCTCTTCTTCATCTCAGGGCTTCTCTAATGCAGCTAAAAATCACTGTTGGCATTTCTGGTGACCTGCATACAGGAATAATGAAGTAAAATGCTGACTGCTGTCTTGTGATCAGAGAAGTGACATGGTATCTCTGCTGCACAAGCACCCGAGGAGGAGAGTGACTACTAGTTGGAGTGAGTGAATGGAAGTGGGTGGATGCTGGTTGTCTTTACTGGATGCCTCCTCGAATACATGCAAGGAGAAACCATGTTTCACAGACTAATCATCTGAAGATTCTGGATGCTCCAATGTTTCTCCCTTCTGAGGAAATCAAACATCTTACAGGATAAAGAAAGGTTTAGTTAATATTGGAGGGAGATTCTTTCTGCTACCAACTGCCTCTTCTTCTAGGCAGGCAAACAGACCAATACTGTGAGAGTGATTACAAGGTGGCTCAATGAGTCATGGCAATCTAAATCTTGGGGTACATGCCGAGAGCTGTGCTACTTGTCATGACCAGACAGATACCAGTGCGACAGCCAGGCAGGACAGCACAGTACATGGGATCATGCTGTTCCAGGTTAGTCTGCCACAGGCTGACTAACCCTCCAGTTGCTCACCCAATGGGCAGAACACAGTGAAAACAAAGCCAAATAAAAGTTCAAATGATTCAGGTAAATTTATGTGTACTTATCTGAGTTCACTGTACAGTCCAAACTTTTGGAACTTCACTCCTTATGAACTAGTTTGGGCATGGAAAAGTAGCAAAAGTCATTCACTAGCCCATATATATATATATATAAAAGGAAAAACAACTGTTTTTAAAACTGACACCATAGAAGGATCTCATTCTATATCCTTCATTTGCAGAATCCCAACCCAGATTTATTGTGAGGAAAAGCATAATAAATTGAATGCAGAACTGTAACATGCATATTTTAAACTTGAGGGGAAAATATGATTAAAAAAAAAAAAAAAAATCACATCCAAATCCAGAACATGTTTGTCCTATCTCCACATGTAAATAATTGGTCTTACATTTTACCCACAGTGAAGCAGTCATGGTTTCAAGTTATCCCATACTACTTCTTAAAAACACATGTAAAACACATTAGGCTTAACTCACCTCTTTCATTTGATTGCAACCCCATTAATCTCAGAGAAGCCACTTTCATTGAGGTAGTACAAAGGAAAGGAGGATCAGTTTTGACTTCTTTGCAGTGCAGAAAGACTAGCTGGTTCAGGACACTCATCTTTTATCTAGTATATATGGACATTGCAGTGGTCGCAGCTCAGGTAGGCAGAATTAAAGTAGTCTGAAGCCAGCTAATTTTAACCCTACTGGCAATATGTACGTTGGCACAAAGGCAAAATTAATTACATTATTCAGCCCCTTAAGTAGGTCTTGAAGCTTTCACTGACCAGCTAGTATGGTCACAGTATCCCAGCCAGCTCATTTAAAACTAATTAAGCAAGCTGCAGTGATTACAGCATTGCCCGTGGTTCTGAGCTCCATTTATGTGATTCATGAAAATTACTGGACTTTACAGCTGTCAAACCAGCATTTCAATAAGCTCTGCAGTTTGCAAAGATGTTGTATACAAGATATATAAAATACAGGCTTATCTGGCCTATTGGCCAAATTCTGACATAATTCTTCATGTCATGTATTCCAAGAAGACATAATTTTAAATTAAATAATTTCTTCAGTTTTTCATGTAATTACAGAGAAATGAACAGAACTGGCACTACCAGTCTAAAATGCCTCTTAATTTCCTGCTTCACAAAACCTTTGCTAAAGTACGTCAAAGTGAAATGGAGTGGAGTGTCAGCTCTGTTCACAGCTCTCTAACCCCAACCTATGAAATAATGCAAGACAACAGAGATAAATACTGCAGCTTTATGGTCACAATAACAACAATATCCCATGGAAGTCCCTGAGTGCTCTGCATAGTTGAAATGGGATCTCTTCTTACAACATTTTTCATTAACATATGTTCAAGGAAAAATGCAGTTGCAAGATAAGACATGCTTGACACTGCAAAATACTTACTGGTGCCTAATTGCTGGAGAAATTATTCAGGAAAACTCCTCTTAAAATAGAAAACAATATTTTTAAGCTACTGAGGGTATTAGAATATGTGATTATTTGTTGAATCAGAGACAACTGAAAAAAAAAGTTAAAATGGCAAGGGATTGCTGTTATATGCACCTGAGGTTTTATTAAAATGCAGTGATATTTGTTTGGTATTTCATGTATCTCTCTTTTCGCTGATTCTTCTTTTTTTTCCCCACCATTTTCGGTCTCTCTTTCAGATTCCCACCCATTCAAGCAAACCTAAAGTGGACAACACGTAATCTTGACTACTGGATAATGATCTTGCCTTAATAAAATAATAAAAATCCCACAACCCAAATGCTCGGTAAGCCTCTCTTTCTTTCTACTTCTTCACTAAATCACTTAAAAATTGACAGTATTAATAAGCTGTTCAGCACCTAAGGCTTCACTATAAATGGAAAAACATGAGAATTGAAAATAATCCACCAAATTTAAAAATAGCCAGGCACATAAACAGCTAGAAATATTCCTTGGCAATAGAGAAAGAAACACTTAAATTAAAACAGCATCATATGTAATACAGTCTCTTAAATGCATTTTTTCTCTACTTGTCTGATTTTAAGGGATGAAGAATAAACATGTTAGTATTGTATGTCTTTATGAAGCTGACAATACCCAAGCCACTGTATTAAGCACATGCCCACCTGGAAGTATTAGAGGCCAAATATGAAAACTACACTACTGAAAAATATTTTTTCTTATTATTTTTCTGCAAGAAAGCTGCCATATAATACATTTATTGGGGGGGGGGGGGAAAACAGTTTGAAGTCCTCTCAGGGTTTCACGTTTGTCCTTGCAGATATATGATACAACAAATGATTCAAAACAAACCATCTAAGTATGTACTGCAAGTTCTTTTCATTTGCATTGTACAAATGATCCCAGCTGCCACTAAGATTTTATTGTATAGCACTTATTGGAATGGAAATAATTGTTTCATACACACTGTATATGAAAACATCCAGAACTAAGGAAGTGTAGGAATGGGACTTCCCCCACCCCTTAAATTAGAAACACTTATGTGGTAAAACGAACCCCCCTGGGATAATTAATACTCACATGTATTGGAAATATAAAGGACTTCTTTGTAAATATAGTCTAGCTTACAGATAACTACTTTTTCTATTACCAAAATGCTAAGAATTACAAACACAGCATTGAGACCATTCCTGGTTAAACCTGTGGCACATACCTATTGGGAAACATTTTCTTCTTTCAAATCATCTTGGTACTAATTTTGTTTTGACTTTGAGGCAAGGAATCAGGATGCAAATCAGTGTTAAACAATGGGGCTTCTGACATGAGCCTATTTCTCAGGGCAGTACCTTAGTCAGAGCTGCAATTCTCTGTGCTAGTTCAGCCTCTACTTCAGGTAAGGTTTCAGCCTTCCTCATCGTCTGCTGCAGCTTCTGCTCAGCCAGTTCTAGACGCTCTTGCAGCTGTCTGTTTTTGTCTTCCAACTGAAGGCCAAAGATAGATAAACAGGTATAAAAAAAAACAGACTTAAGATTTTCCTTTGCTTTCTTAGGTATCAGGGAAGCAATCAAAACTCAGTACATAGGCATAGATACTCCACAACCTGGGAGAGCTCTCTGGAGAGTTATTATCTCTAGCATGGAACAGTGTAGGCTGCCAGTTTCACTAACAATGAATGATCTGAGGCTCAAGGATCATACAAAGGTGGAAAAAATGAGTTGTAAAATTGCACTAATGAAGATGAACAAGAAGGTCCTCTGATCAATGGGTTGTTTACCTGAGCAAAATGAATGTATCAGTGCCAGTAAATTCAGAATTTTCTAGATGGAAATATTGAGTCCATCTCACAGAAAAGTTTATGTATGAGCTAAAATGGGAAATAAGTATAATTCCAAAAGAAGAGAATTCCCAGCAAAGTTTCTGACCAAACTGTCAAAAGAAATTTTCTGAACAAATGCCAATCATATATTAGGAAATGTTAAAACTGAAATTTCACTCATGGTTGCTATTTCCTTTAGTTGGCTGTGATCTCTCTCATTGTGAAACTACAACCAAGTCTCATTTTACAGAGGTGAAACTGATTAATCTGTGATAACCATTAAAGAGCAAAAGGAGGACTTCTGATAACTTTTGCACTAATTTCTGGCCTACTGAGAAACACCACAAGATTAAGATTTCTTTTAATGGCTTGATAAATGTTTCCCAGCTTCCTGTTCATTCCAGATAATAGAAGATGTAATGAAAAAGAAGTGTGCTTTTAGAAACTTTTTTAATCCTTCAAAGCATGAAAAGGTCAGCTTTTCACATTGCTATGCTGCAAATCATTGTTAAGTCTGCCTGTATGTATTCTAAGCCTGGTTCTATTGATCACTACTTTGAGGGGGTAGACTTCTGCAGCACAGCATGATTTACATTGGCAGCAATAAAACAGTTTTAGTTCCGATTCTTTAACTTCCCTGAGGAAGTAGTCACATGAACATATATACCCACAGAGAGATGTATGCATGTGTGTGTAAATATATCTGCATAGAGTCATAGAAGCAGACATTACCAGATTATAAAGGCTTATTTCCCATACAGTATTTTATGTTGTTTGAAGACAAGACAGGTGAAAAAAAAAATAATTAAGAAGTCTGATACTGAGGAGAAATTTAATCTTTTACAATGTGAATTATATAAATTTCATGCTAGCTTTCAGTTCCCATTATAATCTTCAAATTACAAACAGTATTTTCTGCTCACTTTATACTTGAGCTTTGAATCACTGTGGAAACAAAGTACCACATGAGAATGCTGCACAATCATGCTTTTTATCTTATACTCTTCTTTAATAAGTATAAATCACTAGAATATATTGTATGCAAATGTTGATCTTTCCTGCAGAAGGGAACTTTTTTTTGCTTATAAGCGAAGATAATTCTTTACTTAGGGAATAGACTAGGTGCATTTATGCAAAACACTATCAGAACACACAGTTATTTCCCAGTGTTGAATGTACACCTTGATATGTAGTCATAGTTGCAGAAGCTGATATGAAGCTTTTTTTTTTTAGATAAACCAATCTGTTGATTAAAAATATGAACATACTAAACTATTGTAAACCTCCTATCTTCCCCCTGTTTAGCATTAATATTCACTATATATGAAGAAACCAACTAAGTAATATTCGCACCTGACGGAGGATGGCTTCCTTGTTTGCCAGTTCATTTTCTAGCTTATCATTCATGTCATGTATGGAGGTGGATTCTCTCTGAGCACTAAGGTAGCGCTTCTCCAGCGTAGTTATTCTTTCTTCCATATCTTCCTTTTGTGCCATTGCCTAATGTGACCAAAAAAAACCCCAGCAAAACCCATGCAATTAAAATGCTACATCATTTTATACCAATTTAATTTTCACTAGATGCTAACAGTAGACCGAGACGTAAAGTATGCTCAGAAGTAATTTTTCTGTTTCAAAGAGAATTTATTTCCTTTGGGTTTCCTTGCAACTATGGTGTTTAAAGTCGTACCTACTGAGTAGAGCAAACAGAAACAATGCTCATTGGTTTTATATTTTTCTAGTTTCTATATTTTTCAATGCAAAAACCAGCACCAAATTCAGCTCACATTTACTTGTGTGCTTCTTAAACAGCATAAGGCTTGATCAGAAAATAGAAAAACTGATATAGGTACATAATAGTAGAAACATAGTTCAGTGATGTGGGGGAAAATTGTATATGCACATTCCTGGGTCCCACTAAAATTTTATTTTCAAAATACTAAAATAGAAGCTAACATCCATCCACACATATTTGGAACAACCACATAAGACAGATACTCTGGAGAGCACTAAGAAGTACCACAAATTTAAAGAGGAAGAAAGAAAACTGATTACATTTTCATTTATTCAGAGACGGGAATAATAACAGGGGTAATGAAGTTACTGCACGAGTAAATATTATAATTGATTATATAAATAACATCATTTTATAAAACTACACAGGAGTTTTAAAAATGTACTTTAGACAATCTATATTACCAGCACCCTTATCTAACAGAGTTCATCTTGAAAAACTGCAATAGCTGAAAACTGGCCAGAATGCACTCTAGTTATGCTAAATCCCAAAGGAGCAGGCCTTTCTCCTGTTTGAGTTGCACATATGCACACCCACTTTTATAAGCAGGGATTTGTATAAGGAGATTTCTAGTACTATTTCTTAATGTAAATTATGTGTTTCCAATGCACAAGGGCTTTTGCCAGTACTCACCCTTTGCTACTCGTATTCATTGGCCTCTGTAAGTTTGTATGGGTAACACAGGAAAAACAGTCAAGAAACAGGAGGCGAGGGCGATGAACTCCTTACCTCTCTAATGTCTCTCTGATATTTACTATTCATTTCCTCTGTTTTAATGAGTTCCTTTCTGGCAGTCTCTGCCTCCTGCTCCACCTCTCCCACACGGGAAGATAGTGCGGCCAAACGCTCCTTCATTTGTGCCATTTCATAGTTTTGTTTTTCCAGTAGTTCCTGAAGTTCAACCACTTGACTAGCTTCATCATTGGAGTCTATGGAGCCATTTGATAGGCGCTGTTGACAGAGAAGTGACATTATCTATTAGTTATCTTTTAACACAGAATTTATGCAAAGAATTTCTAAAACAGAGATTATTTTAAAAATTACACAAGCAACTAGGAAGAGAAAAACACAGTCATTCTCATGCTAGATAAGACAGTTGTAGTTATGAAAAAATTGTAAAAGTATTAGTATTCATTCATATCTAGTGATTCCAGAATGTAACATCTCATAGAGAAATAAACTTCTCTATTAAGAGCAGAATACTGTATAAAGATAGCTTTAGTTTGACATTACAACTATTCAAATACAAATTGCAACAATACTACTCCTAAAAAGCAACAAACTGAACAAATACATCTTGTCTAAACTTACACAGCATTTAAACTTAGCCTACTTAATTTGCAAAACTAGGCAACACTGCAGCCAGGAAGCAACACTAATAAATCACGAATTCACTGTACCAAGAAATGCTTAGAGTCTGGACAACAACAGACTATTGGTTAGTTCTGCATTGGAAACACATTCTGCTGTAGTAATTTGTATGCTGCTGAAAGCCTTGGTATGAATATAGTTACAAATAAAGAAAAGAAACCAACCCAAATACAAAAGTCTGGAACTCACACTGCATTGGCAGTATGATTTTAGGAATATGATCTATATTATAAATAAATGATTTCAGGAGAGAAGCATGTTATTTTACCTGCAACATGAAAAAAATCAACCTGAAGTAGTCCAAGATATCATTCACTTTCTTAATTAGGTACAATTTTATTTGCTACCTTTCCGTTATGTAGCATGGGAACAAAGTATTTCAGTGTAACTGCCATTTTAAATATGTTACAGATCTTAAAAGAACATCATGCAGAAGTACAGGTCCTAAAATGCATTCATCGTCCTTCAGATGGTAGGGAGCACAGCAATGTATATATGAAATATTCCTAGCAAGTTCTGAAAGGAAACCAAGCTTCCTTTCATTAGCACTTCTATATTATTATCACCAGAATATATTTAAACAGGAATCTTCTAGAAAATTTAAAAAGACCTTTACTTTGCTTATTGGCTTTAGTTACATTTTTTCCCCAATCAGCCATAAAATGAACTCAGATTAAGACCACTTGCCCTTCTGCAGATCATTGATTAAAGTTATTTTATTCTAAAAATTCATTATATCAAATAACTCTGTTCCAAAATTGTTTTCTTTATACTAGTTAATAATATTATCATGACATTTTATGTTAGCTGCTGAATCATCATTGATCTACTTTCAGGACACTATGATAAAATGATAGCAATTGAAAAACTTATTTACACTCAGTTTGTTGTTCTGAAAGTGTTCAGTTAGTCCACTTAAAATCCCATTATTAGGCAGCAGTCAGGTATGTAAACAAATAGTACACAAACAGGATAAATATTATAACCATCATACTTTATTACATTGTGCAAATTTGAAATAACTTTTTTTTTATCTATGATAATTATAATCTTGTTTACCATTTTAGTCTCACACAGCAATTTTAGCAGTTGTCACAGATGAACAAATTCTACCTTGCATTGAATTCGCCTTACAGTTCTCTAAATAGTGGTCCAGGAATTGTTGCAAGGTTATAAGCAAGCAAAAAACAAATCTGAAAAGTAATAAATGGCATGTGAGCATGTAGTTTATGTGATGTAAACCATGATACTTTTGAAATGGCAAGCTGCATTATATAGAATCATAGAATAGTTAGGGTTGGAAAGGACCTTAAGATCATCTAGTTCCAACCCCCCTGCCATGGGCAGGGACACCTCCCTCTAAACCATATCACCCAAGGCTCTGTCCAAACTGGCCTTGAACACTGCCAGGGATGGAGCATTCAGAACTTCCCTGGGCAACCCATTCCAGTGCCTCACCACCCTTACAGTAAAGAACTTCCTCCTCATATCCAATCTAAACTTCCCCTGTTTAAGTTTTAACCTGTTACCCCTTGTCCTATCACTACAGTCCCTAACGAATAGTCCCTCCCCAGCATCCTTATAAACCCCCTTCAGATACGGGAAGGCTGCTATGAGGTCTCCACGCAGACTTCTGTTCTCCAGGCTGAACAGCCCCAACTTTCTCAGCCGATCTTCATATAGGAGGTGCTCCAGTTCCCTGATCATCCTCGTGGCCCTCCTCTGGACTTGTTCCAACAGTTCCATGTCCTTTTTATGATGAGGACACCAGAACTATATAGGAATATGTCTACTAGAGTTATGTCAGAGTTATTTTTAAAATATGAAAACTTTTGATAAAAGCACCCTTTTGATTACATGTATTTTCTTGACATGCAACATAAAAACTAACATCAAAATGTTTTTTCAAAGGTCTGCATATAATATAATAGGGTGGTGAGGCACTGGAATAGGTTGCCCAAGGAGGTTGTGAAAGCTCCATCCCTGGCATTGTTCAAGGCCAGGTTGGACGAGCCTTGGGTGACATGGTTTAGAGCGAGGTGTCCCTGCCCATGACAGGGGGGGTTGAAACTTGATGATCTTAAGGTCCTTTCCAACCCTAACTATTCTATGATTCTAATAAGTTCTATTTACTAAATATCTGAAGATTTACCCATATAAGTATGTAAATATATGTAAGCAAAGAACACAAATTTTGCAAGTTCTCTCTGAACCTGCCAAATTAGGGAATTTCATTTTCTCTTTTTTCTTGCAGTTTGCAGTTGGAAAAAAAAAAGTAATTCACTAAAGCATACATAAAAAATAAAGCAATGGATACAATGTATGTTTCAGCAAGGAATTGTTTTCAGAAAAATCACAATGTTTAGAAAAGGCTATATAAATAAGACAATTGTTTCAAAATAACAGAATGTCATTGCTGCAGAAGGTCTTGGAGACTGGAATATACTGTTACCTGCCTCAAGATATGACATATCCTCATATCTGCCATAAGCCTATGACCCTAATACTCATGGTGACTGGACTTCAAACACCGCTTTTTTACTCTCTGTTATTCTAGGACGGCATCTCAACCTAAAGGAATATCACTGTCTCACTTCATTTTGTGACACTTCTCCTTTCATTTTCTACTAAGGTGAGTGCCATCTGTTGCTCTATAAAACATAGATGAATTTGGTCAGTTGTCCTGACTTTTGGTCAGTTGCTCTGAGTTTTGGCCAGTCAGCTGATATGGTTGCTGATATTAAAATCTTCATTCATATATAACATATAGAATTTTAAAGATACAAATCACTTTGGAAATATTTTGGAAATAGAACATGATCAGTACTAGTACCTGTTTTAAAACCCAAGTTACTTTTAGACTCTCGCTGAATCAATGTAATTCCTACAAATAATACATATACTGAAAATTCAATGTAAGGAAGAGTAGGAAAGAAATGCTGCATGAAGCTTAAAAGCTTTAAAACCATGTGTTCAGTTTGTTGTTTGTTTAAAAAAACCCTTTGAAAACAGGCAGAAAAACTGGAAAATTTTGTCCCCAGTCCCAGGGAAAAAAAAGAAAAAGATTACTTTGAGCTCTGCGGTGCTGACGATCCTTCTGACTTAGAATGCTGGAAGATTATCAGGGGAGAGACAGAAATACAGTATATTTCTCAGGTCAAATAAACTTGTATGAAATTTGTAGTATAGAAATACTAAAAATGAAGTAAAATAATCATGAAAGGAAGCTAAAATCTACATGTCACTTGACCTTATGAAAGAGTAAAATTTAATGCTGCAAACAGATGCTGTTTGATATGTAAGAATAAATGAATAGCCAGTTGCCAGAGGATGCTTTTTACTACAGTTCTTCCACTCTTATTCCGTTCAACTGCCTCATGCAAAAGGTTTAAAAGAAAGTAAATTATATTAATACAGACCCAGATATGTGACAGCCCAATCACAAGTGACAACTAAAGAAGAAAAAGCAACAGGATCATCATCCATATAATCAGCACACAAAACCAAATGTGAAAAGCTATGCCCAAAATAATAGCATTACACCTAAGCTGCCACAGTAATTTCCAAGTGGTTGGTTGCCTCTTTAATGTTTGAATACTATGCTAGCTCTCTAGGTTGTTCCAAATCTTTTGGTCTGTGTCAAGCAGAAATTGCAGAATCATTAGAGGTCTCTTCTTCAGTTACCTTGCATTTTCTCAAATCTTTAATTAATTATGAAAGCCAGTGTTCTCTGAACTGAAATATTTCTTTGCTACCACAATACTGATGTAAAAACAGCTGCCTTCTCCAGCACTTTTCTCTCCAACCATCCTGTTTTGCTTCTTCTACAAAGCCATCAAAAGACTTCAGTGTTTATTACTAATTTTAAGATCTGAAATAAGTCTGCTTCCTGATCAGCTTTCAGCTCTCATTCTACTTTCTGATGCCTGTAATCATCTCTTACCCTTTACTCACTTTGCAAAATGGTAGCTTGGATGGGGGGAATAATAATAATAATAATATAAAAAAAAAAGTTTACTTGACAGGTAGGCATATTTCTTCTTGTTGCTGGTTTCTTCCAGAGTGCCTGCCTATTTCTCCTTTGTACTATTAGAAGAATTTCTGAGATCTTAGACAGGAGAGAGAAATCACTTGCTGCTTCTTAATTATAAGGGCTAGTTAGCTGTCCAAACCAAATTCAACATGTAAACCCTGTCCCCATTTGCCCTCCTTTTTCTTACTAGCCTGCCCAGCCTAGCATTAGAAATTACTGACCCAGCAATTCCTTGCAGCAAATCATCCAGCATAAGTTAAGTCAGCCAATGCCATCAGATGGCACAGTGCTAGACGTTAAAATTCCCTTGCAAAGGTAAGTGCACATTTAAAGCAGTGGTTTAAAGGACTTGACATGTAGAAGTAAGTATATAGAGATTTCTGCTAAGTAAAAAGGATTTTGTATTACTGAAAGTCAAATTAATCTATGTGAAACAAGCAAAGAGCATTTTTTTCTTGAAAAATTAAAGATCTGAGAAGTCTATTGATTCAGCATGTAAATAATGCATACGTAATGCAGCTTTTCAGTATAATAAATCCCTATGCTA